TCATCCTATCGATGGAAGTAGCCTCTCTCTATCTGTCTGCGTGCATGGCTGGAAAACTCTCTCTCTCTCTCTCTCTCTCTCTCTCTCTCTCTCTCTCTCTCTCTCTCTGTGTGTGTGTGTGTGTGTGTGTGTGTCTGTGTGTGACACACACACACACAGACGCGCGCACGCGCCCAGGCAGGGCCGCTGCAACAGTTTCATGTGTGCATGAACTGAGCAGCCTTCGAATGTGCAAAATGAGAAGGAGAGTATGGAGCAAGGGGCTGTGAGATGCAACCCCATCCCGAATCCCCTCCCTCTCCTTCTCCCCCTCCTTCTCCCACTCCTCCTCCCGCTCCTCCCATTCCCTCCTCCCCCTGCTCCTCCTCCGCCAAACAACGTGACGAAGATCCCGCCATAGCCCCGCTCCCGCTCCTTCTCTCGCTCCTCCTCCCTCTCCTCCTCCCTCTCCTTCTCCCGCTCCCTCTCTTGCTTTTCCTCCCGCTCCCTCTCTTGCTTTTCCTCCCGCTCCTCCTGCTGCTCGTCCTCCTTCCGCTGCTTCTTTTGCTTTTCCCCCAGTTCGTCCTCCCCCTCCTCCCGCTCCTCTTCCCGCGCCATAGCCCCGCTCCAGCTCCTTCCCCGCTCCTTCTTCCACGCCTCCTCCCGCTCCTTCTGCCCCTCCTCCTCCTCTTCCTCCTCCTCCTCCTCCTCCTCCTCCTTCTCCTCCTGCTCCTCCTCCGCCAAAAAACGTGACAAACATCCCGCCATAGCCCCGCTCCCACTCGTTCTCCTGCTGCTCCTCCCTCTCCTCCTCCTTCTCCTTCTCCTGCTGTCCCTCCTGCTGCTTCTCCTTCTCCCGCTGCTCCTGCCTCTCCTCCTCCACCTATATCTCTTCCCCCTCCTCCGCCTCCCGCGCGTTCGTTAACCCCTTCCCCGTTTCCTCTCCCGCTCCTCCTCCCGCTCGTTCTACCGCCCCTCCTCCCGCACCTCCTCCGCCCCTTCCCGTTTCTCCTCGCGCTCCTTCTCCCGCTCCTAAACCCCTCCCCGTTTCCCCTGCCGCTCCTCCTCCTTCTCCCACTCTCCCTCCTGCTGCTTCTCCTTCTCCCGCTGCTTCCCCTGCTCTTCCCCCCGTTCCTCCTCCCGCTCCTTCTCCTGATCTCCCTCCTGCAGCTTCTCCTTCTCCCGCTGCTTCCTGCTCTTTCCCCCGTTCCTCCTCCCGCTCCTCCCGCTCGTCCCCGTGCTCCTCCCGCCTCTCCTCCTCCCCCTATATCTCCTCCCCCTCCTCCGCCGCCCGCGCGTTCGTTAACTCACTCCCCGTTTCCCCTCTCACTCCTCCTCCCACTCCTTCTACCGCCCCTCCTCCCGCGCCTCCTCCGCCCCTTCCCGTTTCTCCCCGTGCTCCTTCTCCCGCTCCTAACCCCCTCCCCGTTTCCCCTGCCGCTCCTCCTCCAGCTCCTCCTACCGCGGCTCCTCCGCCCCTTCGCATTTCCCCTCCTGCTCCTTCTCCCGCACCTGCTCCCGCTCCTCCTCCCACTCGTCCCTTTCCCGCTCCTTTTCCCATCCCTCCTCCCACTTCTCCCGCTCCTCCTCCCGCTCCTCCTCCGCCAAACACACACACACACACACACACACACACACACACACACACACACACACACACATGTGTAGTAGGTATATTTCCCTGTCCTGGCGGAAGATTCATTCAGTTTTGCCCATCTATCGATGCACGTAGCGTGAGGCCAGCCCAGGGGGTGGAGACTTACCTGTTCGGCGATGCGTATCTCATCCA